TTATGAGCAAATATTTGGTCTACTGATGGAATCACCACTCTTACCTATTTTGGCAAATGTGTACACGTATTTTTTTACATTTAAGTATTGTTTCAAGACTACCAGTAAATCAGTAATATAAGATGTATTCACCCAATTTCGTTTAAGGTGATGAGAACAACTTTTTGAAAAAGCAAAGAAATGTGAACTTCAATATAAACGTCAGCTCTACTCATATCATTGTGGGAAAATTCTACTACCAGTCCTTCATCAATTTAGACGAAATATAGTGAATACATCTCATATTCTTGAGACTAGAATGCTGATGCATTTCTCGTTACAGCCTGCTTTAATGAGAACTTGCAGAACTTGCACTCATGTTTCCATTTTGGAGACAGCCTCGGAGCTCAACTTCGTTCAGCTAGCGACTTAAAGTCGAGCAATTCCCACCTGTTTTGTACAGACACGAAAGATGATGCAGGCACTAGATGAAAAATTAACGTATACGATTATCAATAGGGACCCTACAGAAACCTTGAAGCATAAACTTACGGGGTGCCTGCAACATTCAGTAACAAAGGGGGGATTAGAGAAATGGAAATAGAACACACTTCTTAACCGCGATGACAGTCTCCCGAATTCATATGGTCTGCACAAGCTACATAAGGAATGAATCCCACTTAGAATTATTGTTAATAATAAGGGTAGCGTGGTGCATAAAGCATCATAATATATCTGTCGGCAAATATAGCAAATCTCCGAGGCATGGCATTTTTCAATAAATAATTCTTATAAATAATTTTTCGAATTAAGTATTATTTTCATGACTACCATTAAATCAGTAATATTAGAAGTATTCACCCAATTCCGTTTAAGGTGATGAAGAACTGGTAGAAGAAGAATTTTCCCACAATGATATGAGTTGAGCTGACGTTTCCATTGAATTTCTCATAGCTTTGCTTTCCCAAAAGTTGTCCTCATCCAGCCAGAAGTGGACTGCAGTTTCGACCTCGCATCTGTCTTATCAACACCCTTAGCGGGAGTCGAACCGCGACAGTGCAGGATGGGAGCTTATTTATGCTAACCCCATGGCTACACTGCCACGAGCGCCTTTTGAGTTACAGGGAAAATGTAAATTTTCAAGCAAGGCGAGGCCTTTTTGCCATATCATATTCCTTGGTGGGATTGTCGATGAAGCAAACGTATATTTGCTATAACAATCGACTACTATACTTTATTTATCGCATTAAGTATTGTTTTCGTGACTACCAGTTAATCAGTAATATGAGATGTATTCACCCAATTTCGTTTAAGGGGTGAAAAGGACTGTTATAAGAATTTGATGAAAACATCTGATACTACTGATTTACTGGTAGTCACGAAAATAATACTTTATTCGAAAAATAAAGTAAAATATTCGATTGTTATAGCAAATATACGTTTGCTTCATCGACAATCCCACCGTAAGAATATGCTATGGCAAAAAGGCCTGGACTTCCTTGAAAATTCACATTTGCCCTGGGACCCAAAAGGTGCTCGGAGCAGTGTAGCCGAGTGGTTAACGTGTCAAGCTCCCATCCTGCACTGTCGTGGTTCGACTCCTGCTGAGGGTGTTGATAAGTCCGATGCGAGGTCAAAACTGCAGTCCACTTCAGCCGGAATGAGA